GGGGGGGGGGGGGGGGGGGGCTTGATTTGTCCATTGTTATGGGCCTCACTGTCAGTTTGTAATTATAAGACTTAATTTAAACCATTTTAACCACCCCATCATACCTCTTGGCATCTGATGGTACTCGTAACTTTTTGGAAATCAATAGAACAATGATCCACATATTATTCATTAAAGAACATTATTTTTGAGTACGTGTGTTTTTATTACATGCCAAATAGGCACATTTTTTCCCTCTGTCCTGCTGTTTCATCAATGTATGTTGACATTATCTGTTGTATAAATGAGGATGTCTCAAAAAAATCTGCAATATAAACTGTTTGTGTTGAATGACCTGATATTTCAATGTTTTCTTGTTTGCAAGATCTGGTCTGGCCACTTGTCTCCATGATGGAACACGAGTTAAAACTTGGACTAAAACAATGCAGGCTTTTAAAGATCCAGGAACAACATACAAAGTTCATCAGCAGTGTAAGCTGGTCTTTGGACAAGATTTCGTAGAGTGTCCTTTTTCAGTAAGACTTCCACCGAATTTACTTTTCACAACATTGAATTTAAATTAAATTAGAAGTTTAAAATATTTTGAATAAATAATGCAGGAGGTGAGAGAGGTAAGAATAGTTATTGCCGCCATTGGCAGACTTTTAAACTGATTTTGGGCTTTCTATTGATATGATGACAGCTGTGCTTTGATGATCTCCTCAAAATAAACAGCCATTTTTATCAATTGATATCATACATTATATCAGATATAACTTTTATTCTATAGCTGATAAAAAATAAACAGAAGAAAATATTTTACCATCTCATCTCACATGGCGGGCTCAGCTTTTTAATGTCAATTTCCAGAATAACCCTTTGTGTCGGAGATTATGGTGCACCAATAAGAATGAAAACAACACAGGGTGTCGTACAAAGCACATGCCCTGGGCAGATGGCACACCATGTGCCCCAAACAAGGTAGACTTTAAGAAATAGTTTTAAATGATCAATAATGATCATAGGAGCCAAAATGATCAATAAATTGATCGTGGGCCCTTAAGATATAGAAGAAGAAGAAATTATTTTACAGAATGTTAGTTGGTAAGAAAAAACCTGATAAAGTAGACTATTGTGTAAATTTCAAATAAGTTTTGTACAAATACAGCATGGTAACTTTTAATATATCTGAGCGATTTCTTTCTTAGCTAATTAAGTAAAAATATTTTTTTCTGAAATAACACACACTAACACACTTATTATTTTAAGAACCATTTTCTGCCTGCACTGGTCCCAAACAAACATATCATGTGCTCCACTTTACTTACACCTAGGGATGTTTCATAAAATACATACAAATAGGAGGACATTAAAAATAATTTAGGAAATATGTGAAACAAGCTATGGGAAACAAGGTATGGGAAACAAGGGATGGGAAACAAGGGATGGGAAACAAGGTATAGGAAACAAGGGGTGGGAAACAAGGTATGGGAAAAAAGGTATGGGAAACAAAGTATGGGAAACAAGGGATGGGAAAGGATTGCAGTCTTCCTCCCCTCTTACTGTAAAAAATAATTTAGGGAGGCAGTCATTTTCTGTAACCATTTTTGTGGGTTTTCATAAAATCAAAACAGCTGACAATTCTAGTTGTTGTGTTGTTTTAATCGTAAACACCATTCACGTTAGTATTTGTAAGAGTTTGAATGCTGGGTATCTGCACCAGAAGGTTTGCATGCTGGCTTAGAAATAGCTATTGATATAGTAACACAACAAATTACTACTTATGTTACACACCTAATTGCTATTAATGTCACACAACCAATTTTTAAGATTGCCACACAGCCAACTACTAATATTGCACTAGATTTTGTATAACTGTAACCATAACATTAAAAAAAAATTATTATGTTGGGTATCGGTTATTCATAGGTAGGAATAGGGCAAATATTTCATCTTTACCTTATATTACTGACTTATTCCTTTTTCTTCTCCAAACATAGAACAGTATGATTTACTCAGTGAGTCAACCATTTTGTAAATCTCTGCACATCTCTGTTCATTTTTGATTCATCATTGACTGTAAAGTAAAATAAAATATTAACATCATGGAATAGAAGATCAAACAAAAGAGGTTTCTTTATGCATCGCATACTAGGATTGCCAGGTTTTTTTTTTGTCAGGAAAAAATGGAAGATTTTTTTTTTTTTAAAGAAAGACAAAAAGATTTTTATAGCAAAAGATAAAAAAGCCAAAAATTAATAAAGAAATAAATTTTTAAACAAAAAAAAAATTATTTTTTTAACTTTTAAAATAACCCCCCCCCCCCCTTTAAACCCAAAATCCCACAATACCCAGAATTTTTTTTTTTTTTTAATTTGCCTTCTGGTAAGATATTAATATTAGACCTGGCAACTCTACTGTTGACCTAAATATATAACGTATAACTCTTGATCATCACTGACCAAAAATTATTAGACAATTTAAGATTTTATGGATAAAGTTCAGTAACAATTTTCCAGTTAATTATTTACTTAAAACATTACTGACTACAGCATTCCAAAATCAGGACATTATGCTGTAGTCTCATGTAAAACCGAGTCACAAACCAGTGAATATTTTTGTAAAAGTTCAGTAACTATTGTTTTGTGTTTTTAATTATCTTATCTTATTTCTATGAAATTAACAGCTAAGTTATAACTGATCTGTAATAATTTAAATCAATCATAAGATCATTGTTGAAAAAATGTTTACCTATAGAGAAATGTATTTTTTTAAAAACTTAATTGAGGTATAAAGCTAACCTAAAGTAACTACTCACTATCAATTGTTTTTTTAGTTTGCAGAATAAATTTTGCATATTAGATAAGATGTAAAATTTATTACTCATGAAGTTATCAAGTATAAATTCAAGCAACTGCTCAATTAAAATATTAAATTAATGTTGAAACCATACGAATCCAATCCAATGTTTGAAGATTGGCTGCCACTCAAAGTGAGCTTGCCCTAAGTCTTAAAATAAATGTTAGAGAAAGTATTTTTTTCTAAACTCATAGATTGAAATTCTTTTGTGACCATTGCATCCAATAATATGCAGCCAATGACATTACAAACTAATATCAAATTTTAAAAACCTTAGTTTAATGACAAACACAGTATTTAGTTCTCATGTCATCCTAATGTTCAATAGGAGTGCCAGCAGGGGACATGTCTGCCTATTCCATCATCTAAGCCTACAGTTATAAATGGTGGTTGGGGGCCCTGGTCATCTTATGGACGTTGTTCCAGAACATGTGAGAGTGGGGTCAAAACAAAATACAGAGAATGCAACAACCCATAGTAAGTTAGAGCAAAGAAAACATTGATTTAAATTACACTAAATAAATAATGTTCAACATTGTTGACAACGTAACAAATTAAATGTTTCTTACTTGGATTAGAAATGAAAAAGACTTTATTAAATATGAAGTGGTTAATAATTCAATATAATGTTTTATTTGTTTAACAGCTGAGAAAAATTCATAAGATATTAATTCTATTTATTATAAACCTATTGAAAAAAAGAAAGATGTTAACTTGTTATAAATATGACATAATAATATGTTATAGTTTCTAACAGAACCAGATTTGCCTAAAGAAGCTACAGCTTACAGCCTCAGAAATTTAAGATTAATATGTAATCAATTGCTCATTAA